TAAATGCAATCCATAACTGCTTGGGCCCATCCTTCATCAGATGGAAGTCCGTTTGTGTAGTACAGTGCAAAACACAGTGCTGTGATTTTCTTCTTAGCCTCTTAAGTTGAATACAGCAGATTAAAACAGGGAGAGATCATTGAGCAAACTATTAATTTTCATATACAGTTTAAGGTTACTGTGAATATGCCCTCCTCTTCCAGAATATGAGCTGACTATAATGGTTTTAACAGCACTATTTATCCCAATCCCAGGACTAGCTCTCTCTTTAGGCAGAAAGAAGCAGACATCTCAGGCAACATATCTGGGGTGTCCAGAAGGGAAACAGATTATTGTTTAATTTTTTATTGCTAATAACAGGAGGAGACACTTTTAAGGAATTTTGTGCTTTCTGTGCAGAATTACTTGTCCGGCTTGTAAAATATTGTGTATTTTATTGGAAGGGGTATTTTCTATTCCACCACAGGAAGTTAAAACATCTTGGGTGGGACCTGACCACATCACACTATGGGTTCATCCACACTGTACAATTTCAGCATTTAGATAGCACTTTAACTGCCATTTTAATTCTTCTGGCTCTGTGGAATCCTGGGATTTATAATCTGGAAAGGGAGTTAGAATTCTCTAGTATACTCCTTTGAAATACAGTGTTATACCTTTCTGGTAGAGACTTATAAATGTTCTCTCTGGTGAACCTATTTTGTCCCTTGCTTGGTCTCTGTTGATTCTGAGTCCTAGAAAAAAATCACTGTGTTTCCTGGCAGCAGTCATCTTAGCTGGTCTTGGTATAACACAGACAACCATGGAGAAATACATTTCATTAGGGAAATGTTTGGTTAATTCAAACTGATCTGGGGAGTGGGAGTGAAAAATCCTTGGCAATGCCAGGAGTTCCCTGGGAATGCTTCAAGATGGAGAAAACATCATGTAGATTTTGAAAATAAGGTTTGTACTGGAATGAAATCTTGGATTGTCAGAGATTTTTTTTTTCTTGTCTAGAGAGGATCATACTTCCTTTTGTGCTTGGTTACTTGAAGCTAACAGTGGGCAAATCAGCAAATCTGGTTGCTTAGACATATTTATTTGAGGAATATATCCCGTGAGAGGAAAAATTTAATGATTACAAGAAATATGTGTTTGCTTTAATTTCAGCTTTGACCATTATACAAACACTACATAGGAATTGATTAGCATTGATTAACTGTGTTGACGTTTTACCAGCCAGCCAAAGTCACCTGTGCAGTTAAAAACAGAATGCTAAAATGAGCACATCTCCAACAAGGTACTTAAAAATCTATATTTAATTCCATAAATAATAGGAAGCATTGTTTTTGAGAGATATGAATGTCACATCTGACAGGCCAAGTCATGAATATTCCAAGTTGATGACGATATGGATTGTCTAACTTTAGCTACTCAAGTTTGAAAAGACAGTGTTGTTCATCAGATGAGTGATTATAAAAGATTAATTGTCAACATATTCACCTTAGTGGAAAAAAATGCTCCTTGGAGAATGACAAGCTTGCTCATATGCGAATGCTGCCCACACAACTGTTTAGAGAGGTAAAAATATTGCTGGTTTATAGAATGTATTTTGCAGGCTATCCAAACATGCAACAAACTTAAGACTGCAAAACTGTTTATATAGTACATCCAGTGTAACAAGACAGGTAATTAAAATGAAACCATGGTGCATTTTTAAAACTGCAGATTTATGTGCAGTTAGGTGGGATAGTCTCACTGACTCAGTGGAACTTGCTTCTTTGTAAGCATGTATAGACTTGGGATGCAGACAGGGCCAGCCCTTCCATTAGGTAGGGTAGGACAACTCTGAAGTGGCAGAGGTTGAGGACAGATGAGCAGCAGAAGTATAGCTCCTTCCCATTTTTATTGAGCCACTCAGCCCCTTTACTCTGTTTGAGGACAGAGCTGAATATTGTAAATATGAGGGTTGTCAAGGCCTTAGTGAGTTCTTCAACTCCCACCCTTACTGTAAACTTGCCAGATTCCTGAGGTGTAGTGGAGGACCCTGTCCAATCACAAGTGCAGAGCTGAAGTAAAATTCACTTGTTATTCCATTCACTTCTGTACATAGAATTTGAGAAAAGAGGTGAAGGTGGACAGGAATCTTGGGCGTTGCATCAAGCAGCAAAATGTCTTGGGCTAGCCCTAGTTGTACAATGTATGAGAGAAGGTCTTTGGGGTGAATTGTCTTTCAGGACCAAAGCAGTTCAAGGAATGGACACCCCACCTGGAAGAGGATGTAGCAATCCACCGACAAAAAGAAGAAGCACTACATGTTTCCTCAGAAACAGTGGTGGATGGTGTCTTCAGTATCAGAAAGGTGGTGAATCCAAGTTGCTGAACCAATTTTTGGTTAGACTTCAAAGATTAGACTAAAAGCCTGAATGGATTCAGACACCCCACCAAAAATATGCTTTCCTCCTGTTTGTTTCCTAAATCTATGAATGCCACTTAGCATGAGCTCAATGTTACTGGAGTGCAGGAAAAACAACAACAGTCAAGCCAGGTTCTCTGGAAGCATAACAAATGCTACATTTAATGGAACATCACATTTTAAGACATATAGCCAAATGCATTATGGAAGTTAGAAAATTTCTTTGTGAAGTTATGGACCCTTTTGGAGAGGAATGTTATTGCATTTATCTAATAAATTCTGGTAAATTATGGTAATATATGTAATGTCTGGTAGCTGTAATCATGTAAGGTTCTGTTGGGAGGGCGAGAGAGTATGGAATGTTGGGAGTGACTGGTGATTGGCTGAGTGTTTGAATGGGATTTCTAAATGGTTGGATTATACATTAGTTAGAATGAGAGCTGAGTCTGTCAAGGTTAGGATTAGGAGTTAGAGACATCAGAAGAGTTAGTAAGGGTTTGAGATAGGGTTATTTATGTCAATATGAATATGAGTTAGAGAAAGAGTGAGAGGTGGTTAGTTTATAGTTTTTTGTGGTTTTTTGGGCTGTGTGGCCATGTTCTAGAAGAGTTTCTTTCTGACATTTCGCCAGCATCTGTGGCTAAAATGGAAGAGAGTGGGTATATACTGTGAGACCCTGGGTAGGGAGGAGTGGTTCCATGTAAATTGTGTATTGTTCTGTTGTTGATTGTGTATTGTTCTGTTGTTGATGGCAGGGCCTCAGGGTAGGAGGATATGCAAACAAGGATTATTGTCTGCTAATTAGTGATCATTGTCTGCTGGGTAAGCCCCTGATCCTGGGTGGTTTCCTATTTGCATTTGTTGAGTGCTGATTTTCCTATTTTGCAGGACTGTTAGCCAAACTTTGTTTACTTTAAGGGTTTCTTTTTTCCTGTTGAAGTT